TGCAGGACACGGCCGCGGCCCACGCGATCGTATCCTAACCTGTTGCGTATCCATTGTTGTCATCGTCTCTTCGTCATCGCTCGCGCTGCAGTCCGTCTTCTCCCGGTCGCGACAACGACGACGACGACTGAGAAGGTGGTTTCCTGATTTCTAAACAATAATAATCGTCATCTTCGTATAGCCGTATAAGAAAACAAAAAAAAAAAAAAAAAAAAATAATAATAAATAATAACCCATATAATAACACACGGTGTTCAAAACGCCCGACCGCTTCCGGTCCCGGGACCGCCGCCGCAGGTCTTCGGGGCACGCGTGACGTAATTTTAATATTCTACACTGCCCGTACCACGCGATTTACCCAACACGCGATGTAGTTTATAAAGGAGACCGGGACGTTTTCCCGCGCGGAAAAGTTTTCGCGGATAAGTGTTTGTAAACGCGATGTAATTTTTAAAACGTGATTTATTCTACGGTTAAACGAAACTTCAGAGTGATCGGCCGTGCCCGATTGTGCAGCGAAGAGCCGATTAGTTACGAATACGATCTTACGTAGTTTTACGGTGACGTTTCTGGGAGGCATTCGCGTCTCATTTTGTGAAAGCGTACGGATTTCTCGACCGGCGGTGTAATTTCGTTTGAAAAAACGTGTGCAGTACGGGTTTTTGACGTTTTTTTCAATACGGTCAGAAAAAAAAGAACAAATTCCTCCGACAACAAACGACGTCGCGTCGAGCGTGTCTGGTCGTCCCGGCCACACGCGCATAAACTCGGGCGCCTCTACGAATCGCCGTTCCCCGACTGCAGCGATTCGCCGTCGCTTTTACGCGCGACGCGCAAAAACCAAACCTCCCCGTGCCCGTATTGCATTTTTATTCCGCGCCGACAACGGGCACTCCGGGACGGTCCGTACCGTCCGTTGTTGTAATGCGCGCGCGGAAAAACGAACGCGGAGTGGCGCACCGCCGCCGTCTGTACCCCCGAACGCCGAAAAACCGATCGATCGGTAGCGCCGAATTAATTTCCACCCCACCCGGACGGTCACGTCCGAGTAGGAGGACGAGGCCACTTCCGAACCGCGATGCGTACTGCGTTATAACGCCGCCGCCGATTTTTTTTTTTTTTTTTTTTTTTATTACCGTCCGAGCAAACGACAATTTTACAACGCCCGCGTTTCAAACACCGTTTATAATTTTCGTTAATATTATACTTATTTATTTATTCGTGTTTTTTTTTTTTTTTTTATTCATTATTATTATTTTTCTTTTCGACGCGGACAACGCGCCGTTCGCGCGTTGCACGGTTCATTCGTTATTTAGCATAATTACATATTATAATTTTTCGCCGCGGTGTATAGGTGCGGGCGTGCAAGAATTATTCGCTTCGAATATAGAAAAAAAAAAAAACCTAAACTAAACTATAATGACCCGCCCGGAGATTACTGTAACACTCGGCCGGTCGTATATCCGGTAAATTATTTACGAAAATAACACTATTATCGACTGGCAGACGGTAAAAAAAAAAAAAAACCTTCCGTTCACCTTAATACAGTATTCGTTTTCGGTACGCGATAATCTAGTACAGTGTACAGGAACCGAACGGTAATACTTTTAACCAAAAAAACGGCCGCCGTTTTAAACGGTGCGATTGAATCTGTTAAATCGGCTCCCGAGATCCGTAAATCGGCCGTCGTATACGTTTTGTTTTTTTTTTTCTTTCTGCCCTAACATTCGAGCGGGTTTTTCAATCCCATTTTAGAGTGCGAATATGCGCTTTATACACCGAAATTTCCACGTAGGTCATTTGAGCGCGATCTATACGGTACACAATGTAACACATACTATACAGTTACGCATACGGATACGGTATGTATACTATCGGCATTATCCGGACTACGCGAAATCTCAATCCGAACATCGACTTCAGAGGTGGTTTCTAGTCGGAAATGTTGTCTGGTCTACAGGTGCAATAGGGGGGGGGCCATTTTTTTTTTTTTTTTATTTCCCGCGTAGTTTTCTTAATAATCGGAAATTATTTTTTTGGTCCGGCAAAAATGCTCGAAAACTGCTTCAACACGAGGTTTATCGTAATAAGCCGTACTCAATTACGGTATGAAAAAAATTAAAAATGTAACGTTACGGACCCTTTTTTTTTGTTTTTTAGCCCTGTCCAACCTATTTCGCTATTTGAGAACCACTCGAATTCGATAATACATTTCTCGGAAACCGACCCAATAACGGTCGATGGGATAATAAACGTATGCGATTTCGACGGGAGCCGATGATTCAGTGTTCGCCGTTTGAAATGTCTTTACGCCACGATTTCGCACCTGTACCACAGTGTAGTGAAATCTCTTTTAATCGTATAAACGAACCTCGAAGAAACGCGAGCATACTCGCCATAACCGACCCAATTCTTCATAATACTATACGGCCTGTAGACTGTAGACAATAGATCCAAAAATATTATTTTATTCCGTACATTGCATACGTGTGTATACACACTGCGCTCGTACAATCTGATCGAAGCGGTGTACGATCTGATTGTACGAACAGCGTACCGTATATTTATAATATACTCTCGTATCATATTGTTCGTAGATGTGCCCGCGGAAGTGTGCACGTTTTTTTTTTTTTTTTTTTTTTTTTTTTTCGAACCGCGGTGCCGGTAATTGCGCCGAGCGAAAAATTCGTAGCGTCTTTAATATTTAAATTATACACGTACAATACGCACGCGAATACATTACATTATGATTTGCGAGGTTTAATATCGTAAACATATTGTAATGGTGATAGTATGGAGGAGATTAAACGTCCGGTTTTTTTATTTTTTCTTCTTCCGTACGGTATAATTAAATATCAATTAACGGTCGAGTCGATTTACATACGAAATATGCGGCAGCCGCCCGATAATATATAATAATATGCCGGACCGATTGACCCGCGGATAACAACATTCGCGCGATACAAAAAAAAAAAAACCGAAACGCAACACAAACTCTGTGTCGTCGGTATACTGAGATCAACGTGGCGGACATCCGTATGGCAATTTACGGGACGGGGCTAATTTTTTTCATCGAACCGACCCACGTGTGAGAACACGTTGTATTAGATTCAATCTCGCGATTCGACCAGCTTACCGGCCGGTAATCATAATTTATAATCGTATTGATAACACAAGTGTGAAGAACGCCCGTGAGCTGCAGCAGAACTCCGTCGCTACAGTCGAATTTACCATACTTTGTATTTGTGTTCTACGTTGTATAGAAATATGCGAACCGGTGGCGTGCCAAAGGGAGTAATCGAGAGGCGGCCGCCTTTGACTTTTGTTTTTTCAAACGGTCTACTTGTACGACGGCGATTTTTAATAAAGCGATAAAAAATCAGTGTTAAATCTCCATGTACTCGTATAATAGCGGCCAATGTGGTGGATTCGTCGGTAGGTAGGTGGGCCACTGGAATAAAATTCATGCCTCTGAAAACATTTGAATTCCTCCGCGCCACTGACGCAAACAATAAATAACCGAACGGGTTCATCAGTAATGTACTCTACACTATTATATTAAAAATTATACTACTCGCGAAAAATGGTTTGATAAATAGATTACAACGCGGTTATGCATTATAGTATTTCAACTATCGGGAATATCTAGAAAAAAGTTTAAATCGAATACCGCCGGAAAAAGCGTTTTCCGAAAAAACTAAAACAATAGACCTCTTAAAGTCATTAAGCATTTCCGTTTAAAAACGAGACGAAAAGAAAAAAAAAGAGAGTATTATTTTCAAAGAACTATTCGGAATACTTTCTTCTATGAAAATATAGAATACCGGCGTAAAAGAAAAAAAAAAAAAAAAAATTCCTGGCGTGACTTCGGTCCTGCAACAGTGTCGGGACGCCGAACAGTGGGTTTCTCGAAAACGGCGGCCCGCCCGCGGCCAATCGAACTCCGAAACCACTGGCGTCCGGTCGAAATCCGGTGCCGTCTCTCGGGATTCCACGGCCGGCCGCACGAGTGTGATACGGGTGTGTTATTTACGCGTCGGACAGACCGCCTGTCCGGTTGTCCCGAGACGCGATTGCCGGGGCGGGCTGTACAATCGCGCGGCGGTTGTCATCATTCGCGTGCACGCGCCGCGGCGGCGGCGGCACCCGTCAAACGGACTTTTGTTTCGCGTCGCATACGCGTTTGCCCCGGCGTCGTCGAGACGGTCCGCGTGCGTTTTCCTTTACGTTTTTTTTTTTTTCCCTATACGATCGGCGATAATTGTCCGTTGAATTATTGCCGTTCCGCCCCGGCGCGGAGGATTGGCGCGCGCGAACGCCCGTACGCGTATGCGCAACACACGTTATTGTATATTGTATTATATTGTTATTGCGCCCGGGCACTCTCGTTAGGCGCGCGCGTATTTCGCCCCGATCACACGGTCCGCCGCCGTTTCGTACGTACGTATATGTATGTGTGTGTGTGTGTGTGTGTGTGCGCCGGTAGGGGTGATGGGGCGGGCGGGGAAATAATAAGTTCGGAAGAGAAGAAAAGAAAAGAAAAACACGCGCGCCGTTTTTAATTGACAACCCCGTCGCGCATACACGCGCGTACGCGTCCTCGGCGTCGGCGCGCACATTTTTTTTCCATACGACGTTGTGTGCACGCGCACGGGACGGCACATAATACGCGGCGCGGCGGCGTCGCGCGGCGCGTAACACGGCCGCCTCGCGTAGATTTCTATCTGCGGCGACCAAACGTCGGTAATTACGTGGCGGCGGCGTCGGGTATAACCGTGGAATACCTGTCCGCGTGCGTGCGTGCACACGCACGCGGTCGGGCGCTCGAACTTTACGCGCGCGCCCGCGCCCGTCTCCCTCGGGGTCAAACCGGACCCCGAGCGACGCGTTCGCCGCGGAACGTTTACGACGGCGGCGGTAGTTAATAACGTGTGTAATGCGCGGCGGACGTTCGGCTCGGCGCGCGCGCGCGCGTGTAGAGCGACCCCGGGCCGCGACCCGCGGACGGGGTTGCCCGGCCGTGGCGGCGGCGGCGGCGGCACCGAGAAAATATTTATTTACGGGTTTCTTTTTATCTTGTTGTTTTTTTTTTTTTTTTTTCATCGTTTTAATACCGCGATACCGCGAACGATATAATACGCCCGCGTTACACGATAGCGCGCGGCGGCCGACGCAATTACCGCCGCAGATCCGCGTTCGGCGGAGTTATTTTTATTATCAATACCATACCCGTATACGTTATTATTATTATTGTTGTTGTTGTTGTTGTTATTATTATTATTATTATTACTGTTATTACGCGGGCAACGGTATTGCGATCGTTTAAAAGGTCGTCGGTTTCGAGACCGGCGTCACGCGCGCCGTTATTTACTAACGTGACCCGGGTGTCACGTTAGTACCTCCGCCGCAAGTACGCGGTTCTCCCGTAGAGGATACGAATTTCCGGCGACAATGCCCCGGGAACACACATCCCCGGACGTTTCCTCGTACCGCGTACGGTGCCCACGTAGGGGTGTCTGGATGGTGTACGGTTATGGTGCGGGACAATCGGTTATGGTACGGATGTCCCGGCAAAGTCCGTTGCGCGTAATCTCGTAAGAGTCTAGAAGTCATATCCCGCACGATTTCGGTACTGGCCGGCGTACCGGCGTCGTGTCCGGGTATTTTCAACACCGGACGGGACGTGACAAATGAAAATCGTGGAAAAAAGAGTGAAATCGACTCGACCACGGGAATCGGTAAAAATTAAAAAAGCCAATTTCTAATCAATACATCGAGCTTTTTCTCGGAAATCGACCGCCGAAATCTATGAATTTCGATATCAGATTACCCGTGTTTTGTTGTATTTTCAATCCGATTGTGTAATGAATCGAACATCTGCGCGCTTTCGCGTTCACGGCGCGAACCCACTCGTTCTGCGCACGTTCTGCCGCCGGAACGGAAACGCTAACCGTGACGCGCGACTTTTGGACGAGAACAAAAGGCGTCGCGCACTCCAATGTGCAGTTTTTTACCGTCGACACACACGACCGTATACTATTAGTTTGCGCTCATCGAAATTGCATCGCGGCAATCGCGACCGCTGCGCCGCCCGCCCCGCAACCTTCGAGTTAATAAATTTCAAAGAACGAATAAATCGCGACGAATGCGCGCGCCTCGTTACTTATACCGGGTGTCCCGGAGACGCCGGAGAACCGACGGGTTGACGTCGAATCCGCCGACGCTTTCATTCCGTTTAATATGTGTTTTTTGCTTTTTTCACAACAAAGCCTATCGGGCCATGTATTTTTATTTTTTTTCGTTCTGTTTTTTAGATAACCGTTTTATAAATTTATCGCGGAACGAAATATAATATTACTGGTTCGCGTGCTGTACTGTCTACAGCAACTCTATTATGCAATGACGAAATGTGTTAATATTTAATATTAGCGTATTACTCGTATTGCCGTAGTCAGGCACGTATACAGGAGTCGGGGGTTCGAACCCCCCGAAAAATTAATAGTTGTGTAATTTATTTATATCAATTTGATATTTTATTTTTTTATAAATATTGATAATATCGGTAATATTGGTTATTGTAAATTTTTTATGAACACCCCTGGTACTTTTTCGTGTTCAGATTGATAATATTCAATACCTATGTAGCGGAAGAGAACTAAATATTATGTTATTGCGTTTATCACATCTCCGCGATGGGACACCCTGTATTTGTCGGACTGTATAGTAATAATATATACTCGTATAATATTATATCGAATAACCTACTTACGTCAACGTGACAGCTGGCGGTATAGGCATTTATAACGTTTTGCATTTTACTTTTTTTCTTGTACGGTCGTAAACACTGCGTCGGCAGCGAGCGTATTTTATTTGACGGCGATATTTATTTATTTATTTTTTTTTTTTGCGTTCATCCCAAGCCAATTTCGTCGAGCGTCTCACAGTCCTGCACTGCCGCAATAACTTCACACATACACATACACACACACCTTACTGACAGTATGCGGGTAAAATTGTTTACTTTGGGGCGGGGGGGGGAGAGAGAGAGTTATGTGGTTAACGAATCGGTTAGGAATAATGAGCTACAGAACACCATCACCACCAGAAAATAATTCTCCCTCCCCCCATACCACATATTTTGTGTCGTAGAAATATACATTGTAAAATGATAAACAGCTGCATTCTGTTATATTGCAATATTATATTACGACTAAGTACGTCACAGGACACACAAGACAATATTACAATATAATATTTAGAAAAAATGGTGACATTTTAACGATAAAATGGTGGGGGATTAGGGATGAAATTTGAAAGCCCCAAAGGCAATTCCTTGACACTAACACGTAGTACAGGGTGTTTTAGCCCTCTACAGTTTCAAATGGGGGGGGGAGAGTTTGTACCGGGGAAAACGCAAAATATAGGCACACGATGCAATAGTATTTAATATCGGAGGACATGTTTACTCTACATTTTAGTGCGAAATCCGCAAATTTATTAAACGTAAACCGTCGCTTTCAACCGGTGTATGAAGATAATACAGAGATACAACGCTGTCTCTTCGACACTTCGTGCAGTTTTCAACCCAATTACCTTTTATCGCATATAATATGGTTTCCGGTAACGTGAAAAAACAATAAAAACTTAATGACAAAAAATAAATAAAAACGGTTCCCAATGACAACCGTATTTTTAATCATTCAATTATTGTCGGCCTAAAGACCGAGGTTTTCTTCGTTATCTCGAATATTAACAAGAATTTAAAAAAACGACATCCCTAAAGTGTACCGCCCGGATAACGTTTCCTTTCGGAAAATGCGCTATGCTCGTCGGCCGGAGTGCGCTTTCTGGTGGCGTAAAGTGTTCGCGTAAAAAAAAATAAAATAATAACAATAATAATAAATAAACATCATTGTAAAACCAATACATTCCTCGTTCCGCTCAGAATCTAAAACATTATTGTTCGGCGAGTTAGAGACGAGGGAAAAAGGAACCGTGCCGTCGTTCAAAAGGTCGGACGAGGCGCAGCGGTAAAAGGAGCCGTGTTATAATAACTACGAGCCTCCTAACCCCTCCCCACCCCCCCCCACCCCCAGACGGTTATTATTGTTATTATTATTATTGTCGGGTATTAATATTCCCGTCGGCGGCGGCCCCGGTGCGCGCGCGAACCCGACACAAAATACTATTGCCCGAGCGGCGGGTCCCGCTCGACGAGCGCGCGCCCCGGCCGCGTAGACACGACGACGGCGCGCGGCACAGCGTGCCGTCCCACGCGCCGGGCGGTCACCCCGTAAAACGACAGTCGGCGCGGCTCTCCGGCGGCCCACCCGCCGGCGCTTCCGACGACGACGCCGCCGCCGCCTCCGAAGATCGAAAACCGTTGTTGTTGTTGTTGTTGTTGTTGGGTCAGACGATGGGCTTTTTTTTTTTTTTTTTTATTTTTCGTTTTAAACGCCGCCGCATTGTGTCGGTTTTTTTTTATCTGCCCGCCGCCGCCGCCACCGCCGTACATACGGAGCGATTCGGTCCGTCGCGAAACACCCATCATAATTGTATTGTTAATACAACACGCGTATTTATGTGCGTGTCGGAGAGTCTGGGCGAATTCGATTTCGGGTTTGCTTTTGTCGGATACAATTATTGGGCGGATATTCAAACGCGGATATACAAACATAATTGCGCATTCGCTCTCCTTCGGGAGGAAATCGAAATACATCTCAAAAAAACAAGTCAACCGGTAACACTGTAGTACGCGAAGTATGTAAAAATCCGAAAAAATGTCGTAAACAGAAAAAAAAAAAAAAAAAAGACGCGAATTAAACGTTATACGCGATTACAATCGCTCTGTATGCCGCGTATGTACGCGGGCTCATTAAAACCATCTGCTCCGGCGACATTTCGGTTTTCCGCGGTGTTATTTACGCGCGCCGCGCACGCATCGCGCGCGTATCGGTTTTCTACTGTCGGCGACCGATCGGACCGCGGCGCGGGCCAATTATTATCAAACGGGCGGATCGCGTAGGCCAGCGGCGTCTGCAATAAAACGTCTGCGCGACGACGTCCAATTATCCGTAATAAACTGTAGCCGTTTAAAAACACCGCCCGGGTGGGCAGGGGTCATAAGGTCCGTCGGCGGATTACCGGGCGGGGCGGACGGACGAACCGCGAGCGTTCTCGCGGTTTTCAAACAAAAAAAAAAAAAAACCGAACGAACGAACGATCTGAGGCGCGGCGTCGTTGGATCCGGGACCGCGCGTGTCCAAAAGCTTTCGCCGCGGATGTGTCACGGTGGGGGGGGGCGACGCGACGAAATCGCCCGAACAAACGGGGACGGACCGACACACACACGGAGATCCCGCCGCGCGCAGTGTCGTCGGAATACGAAACGATCCGCGCCGTGTAATAATAACATCACCCGCACCGGGTAACATTTCCCGCCGAGTTCTCGTTCGACGATATTACACGCGATCCAGGGCAAATCCAGGACGCGGCCGTCCCGAAACGATTTTTTTTTTTTTTTTTTATCGCATCACGTACGCCGGACAATTGATATACGCCGTCGAAAACGGTTGGTGTGTACTGATCGAATTGATTACGTGCGCGCCGTATTATTGTTGTAAAGCCGTTTCAACGTCGACGCGCGGTGACATTTCGGGCGGTCCCGCGCGAAAACGGCGTTTTCGGTGGTGCGTTGGTGACTCCGCGCGATTATTGAAATTCGCGAGTGGCGCACGTCATCGCCGTTGTCGCGACGTTATTATCGGCCGGTGCGCGGCCGGCGACGGACAAACGCCTCGTTCGGCCCGGTTTTCAAACGTTGGGTTCCGCGCGGGCGTCCCACGGCGTCCCGTTATTAATGGTCCGCCGGGCGCCCGTCACGTCGCACCGGCGTCACGCCGCGTCACTTCACACCTCCTTTGATGCGCGCGGCGCGGCGCGACGCAACGCACCGCCCGCGCTGTGACCGTACGGTCGGCAATATACGCCAGTCATCAGAAACCCGAATCGTCTCCGGTTGCCCGCGGCGTGTTGCGGCGTACGTTACGAGATACCCGTGTACGCGCTGTGCGTGCGCGTGCGCGCGTGTGCATTTTAACGATTAGTCGTATTGTTATCATTACCGAGGCGTACCGGCCGACCGACGGAATCGATTTATAGTCGATTTTTCTGTCCGTCCGTCCGTCCGTCTCTCTCTCTCTCCCCCTCCCCCCCCCCGGATCGGCGGACGACACGTCCGAGACGTTTCGTTAACAATTACAATCGGAGATCCCGTCCGTT